ATATATATATATATATATATATATATATATATATATAAATATATGAAAGTGAAACTCGACAATTTTAGGTAATGCTTTTATCCCTGGCATTTTGTGCATCAGTGTGCATGCTCACATTAGCGCACTCGGTTTAATAACAAGGTGTTAAATGTAGGCGATCATTTTAACGGTATGCATAAACATTTACTCTAATATTGTTTTCAAGTTGGTGTTTCAAAAAGGTGACCCCCAGAGGGCTAGAAGGGGAGCGCTATCAGGAAAAAAATCATCATTATTAGTACTATAATTTAGAAATGCTATTTTTAAATATAAAAAAAAAAACAATACAACTAATTAATAACAGAATCCAAATTACAGTGTTTAAGTAAATGAAAACGAGAGCTATGATGAGCCTGACAAACTAAAAATCTACCAACAATATCAACATTTCTTAAATTATATTTTAGATCTATTTGAACATTTAACATGATTTTTCTTTGAATAAGAAAATTACATATAACTCACGCAATGATGATAATGAGCACTTCCACATTAAAATAGTGATTAACAGTAAATACTAAACTGTTTTTGAAAAACACAAAAGTACTTTAATCTGTTTTGGTGTTTCAACAATTGCTAGAATAACACAGCAACTTTAGTACTATTAACAAATCACCAAACACTTTACTTTTCTACAACTATAAGGTATATTATACCACAATACAGCACAGTTTACTGTAGTAAAAACTAAAATGTACTAAAGTATTTTTTTGTTTATCTACAGCTAATACTACAGTATTCTTTAGCACTTGTTAAAGTGTTGTAAATCAATACTGCAATACATGCAGTGACATACACTGAACTACAGTATGCTACACCACAGTGTTTTCTTTTACTATAGTAACGCTATAGAGTAGCATTGAGGTAATCTTGGATTTATATTCGCACATTCAGTCTTTCTCTTTAATAATATACCTTCAGAAAAGTATTATTAGCCAATTCTAAATAGTTAAATCATATTATCATACAAAGATTATCTAAGTACAGCCCTGTTTACAGTCTAACAGATGGTGCTAATGTTGTTTACAGACTCAATATTCAAAGTAGTGTGGTAGACAACATGGGACTGTTCAACAATGAACGAATGTGCGAATATAAATCCAACTCTACCTCAATTACAGTAATAATCGATGTAGCTACCATATATGACCAGATTAAATAACCAGCATTGCTTTGTGACGCGTGCTTTTAGCCAAAACGCCGAGATTAAACAACAAATCCTCACCTTCAGAGTGTAAACCCTCTCGCCATTCTCATTGAGGTAAAACTGCAGGAACATGACGAACTCTCACGGATTGATTTCGACGATTTCTGAAGAGAAAACAGCTTTTACGATCAGAGGGCTGCTGCGGTGCAAGGCAACACGTGTGCAACTGACCGAGAGCAAAGCGGATGTGCGGAGCGGGACGCAAGGCAGGATGGGAAATGGAGTTTTCAAAAATCACGCGTAGGAGAGAGCGCGCCACCTAGTGTAGAACATAATAAAAGATTGATGTTAACATTAATAAAACCACAAAAACAAGCACTTATTTCAGTTGATTATAATATGTAATAGATAATAACCCATATAATCAGTCAGTGTTGTGAATATAGCAGTATTGATAGGTTTGTTTTTGTTTGTTTTTGAAAGTGCGCAGTTCAAATTCAGCATTCTGCATTGAGCGACTGCCTCAGGTGTGTTGGAGCTTCTTACTCACATTCACAAATGGATGTTTTATTTGATGATCAGACATTATAAGGATAGAAACACTTGAATTTTAGCTTTTTGATTAAATTATTGTCTGATAAAATTAGCAATATTGACGCTCCAGTGTCAGGGGCAGTAGATTTACAGTGTTCAGCATAATTGAGAACAGCCCATTTTGAAAATGAGCATTTTCCTCCATTTCTCAGTGAATTTAGGCGATGTGTTTTGGTGCATTTAAACAAAACTGATTTATTAAACAGCTTTATTTATTAAAATAATATTTTAGTCACCAAACATATTCAGAAATTAAAAGATAATACAATTAAATGCAAGCTAAATACTGCAAATATATTACAACCAACAAAATGTCAACTAAATTTTTACCTTTTTTGCTTCTCTTGATTTTTCCTCTTTTTTTTAAATTTGTATTTAATATTTTTCTATAACATAAATGTGGCTGTACCAGTTTTTGGAGCGTTATTATAAGTTATTTGGTCAGATAAGCTCCAGATTTGGCTTCAGTATGGACTAATCTAATGTATATGCACAAATATAATATTGTAAAGCTTCCTATCAAACATGAATTTAAAAGAGAGATGCGTGAGGGGTGTGCTTATATATGCTGAGCACTGTACATTGTAATGTTTTCTTAAGCAAATAATTAAATAGATTTACTGATAGTACAAATGATTAGTGATTTGGTGATTTGTTTATAATGCATACGCATATTTGTTTTGTATGTTTGAAAAGAAAATGTTCTAACCTTTTTATATATGATTTTTTGTTTCTTTCATGTATTTACAAGTTTAACATGTAATCTGCAGGTCTTCAATACAAGAACACTGAGCAATCCTGACACTGTCCTGACTTGCACTTCAATGCATACAGGTATTTGATGTCTGGATTATCTTCATTCTGTTCAGGATGCATATTCATTCCTTTTGGTGTTTGTTGCGTTATTTTACCCGTTTGTGGTTTTTCTGTACTGTTAGACTATTTCAGCCACTGATCTACAGTGGACGTCGGAATTATTAGCCCGCCTGTTTATTTTTTCCCCAATTTCTGTTTAATAGAGAGCAGATTTCTCCAGCACATTTCTAATCATAATAGTGTTAATAACTCATCTCTAATAACTGATTTATTTTCTCTTTGTCATGATGACAGTAAATAATATTAGACTAGATATTCTTCAAGACACTTCTATACAGCTTAAAGTGACATTTAAAGGCTTCACTAGGGTAATTAGGGTAACTAGGCAGGTTAGGGTAATTAGGCAAGTTATTGTATAACGATGGTTTGTTCTGTAGACTATCAGAAACAAATATAGCTTAAAGGGGCTAATAATATTGACCTTAAAATGATGTTCAAAAAATTAAAAACTGCTTTTATTCTAGCCGAAATAAAACAAACAAGACTTTCTCCAGAAGAAAAAATATAATCAGACATACTGTAAACATTTCCTGAATCTGATCAACATCATTTGGAAAATATTTAATAAAGAGAAAGAAAAAAAAAAATAAAGGGGGGCGAATAATTCTGACTTCAACTGTATGTGTGTGTGTGTGTGTGTGTGTATATATATATATATATTTATTTATTTTTATATATTTTTTTTAATTGTTATTATTTTATTATAAGTAGTTATGGACCACTAACATATAGTACTCTAACGTAAAGTACACAGGATTTGTTTTTATTTTAATTCCTAATAAATTTTTCTGTGTATGATTAAGTTATTTATTGGTATTTATTATTTTTATTTTACTTTAGTTTTATTTATTTATATTTGAAAAACTTATTGAACGCTATAAGTAAACAGCACCCATAATGTTTGCATAATCAAAACATAATTTTTAACCATACTATAGTAAAGTGTAATATATAATCCTCTACTCACACTCGCTCATAAATGATCATAAAAGTCCTGGTGCTGCAGGTATTAGGAGGTTTGCGTTCATTGAACAGTAAGAATGATTAACAAATCCACATGCAACAGTCTTTTAAATGTGACGTTGCGTCTTCAGTTTCGTGCTCAGCCACGATTTGCACTCACACTACAAGCGTTCCACGCCTGCGCCCAAGTGAACACCGCTCTAGAACAGCACTTCCAACCGGGCCAGGGCCGGCAAACAGAACCATACCTGGGCCAGATTCAGAGCCCCCTCACTCTATGCTGACATCATCTTCAGCAGCTCAAACACTCTAATGGCTAATGGACAGACGGCTGCTTCTCACTCAGGGCTGCTGTTTATGCTAATGAGGGAGAGATGGGCACCAGTGGGCGGGGCTTTCCCCCTCTGATGACACGTACAAAGGGAGAATGTCAATCAAAGTGTTTCTGCATCAAGTCTGATTATAACAAACACAATTAATACATTTCTATCATTAGAGGCTGAATATGTTCACACGACTGGATTTAAACCCCTTATAGAAGTGATTTCTGCATGATAGCTCCCCTTTACAACTGATTTCTTATTTTTTCTCTGCTGTTTGTAGATGGACGTTCTTCAGTCTGCATTTGGTGGCCAAATATCAGGACAGCATTATTCACATTCCCAAAATGCACACATCATGAACGACTGGGCATCGTTTAACGAAACTGAACAGCCTAACATGGATCCATACTCATCCCAAACACCACCTCATCACTATCAGACTCAAACACAGCCAGTCCCGATGGAGGATCTCCAGCGGTCTGATGGCCAAAACATGCTTTATACACCAGAAACAGCTCACATGACTATAGCGCTGCACGACAACACACAAATCCTCTACATCACCGATGATCCAGCACAAACTCTTCAAGCGACACACATAGTCTATCAATCAGATCCCGCCGTCCAGCAAGACCTGCATTTTGATGGGTACTTTAATGCATCTCCTGCGTTCAATCCTCCTCCAGTTTTCACACATCCTTGTGTAGTCCCTCAATTGAGCCATTCATGGCCTGTAAATGCGCCTCAGATGAACGCTAACATCATGTACGATGCTTTAAACGCTCTCCATAATCCATTCTGTCAGATTTCCGGGCCTCCACAACATTTCAATCCGGCGTTTAATTCAAATGTAGCCCCGTGTATGAACAGTCCCACATGGTGTTATCCTCAGAGCCTTTACCCTTCACCGCAGTCACCAAGTGAAGGTCACGAAGAAAGCGGCGGTCATGCCAAGAACAGTTCCCCTCAGAAGATGATGGAGACTTTAGGGACAAAGGTCAACCAAGAGTCAATGGTCAGCGAAGGGTCAGAGGTCACGAGTGGCGTTAAGGAAGAGGACGATGATGTGTGTGCGCAGTTTCTGACTGAGGTAAAAGACTGCACTCTTATTGACACTCATATTTGTTTACATCAGTGAATTGTGGATGTTCATGACAAGGTTAATGTGGATAAATCTAAATATTGCAATAATAATAATAATAATAATATAGATGAAATATAATAATAGTGATGTAGTTTGCACTGTCAATATGCAAAGGTAGAGTTCCCCGTGAAGGGCTTTTAAAAGTGCATTTGTTATTCGATGTTTGACGTATTCTGAACTCACACATGAATAGGGGCGGGGCATAGAGTAGCTCCTCCCCTTAATAACAGCTAATAAAATTTCTCACAGCTCTGCCAATGGTTAATAAAATGGTAACTAGAAACGTTTACAAAGCGATTTAATACTTTCGAAATTCACAAAGGCAATATATATGTCCATGCCTAATATCCGATGGCCAGAAAGTGATTCATTTTTTTATGAATTGTTAAAATTTTGGTATTTGTGATGCAGCAAGCCCAGAGATTGTTGTGTACACAATGACTTTATATAAAATTAACTTTAATATGTGATATGAATTAAAAGTGATCATAAACTAATCATTTTTCAACTCAAATGAGTGGCAACTCGGACCCGGAAACAGTATTACATACGTCACCAACACGTCACCACTTAACAAGCGGATAATATCCAGATGCAGGCCAGCAGAACCACACACGTTTTAGGCACACACGATCTAGGCAAACCATATATGGTTTCGACAGATGCTAATGTTGTTAACGTCTTCTTAGACATCATCATCAATATACTTATATATATATATATATATATATATATATATATATATATATATATATATATATATATATAGTACACAATAAACAATAGTTTTCTATCAGTCATCACAGATGATCAGTCATTATCTGACAGAGTCAGTATAGCTGATACTCATTTGCTGGCCTGCTGAATGATCTGTATACTTTTTGGTTCACTGTTGATTCAGTTTAGTAACTGAAACCCCTTTTTGATTCAAATGTACTGAATCGAATACAAAACTAAAATATTAAGCATATTTTGAAAAAATTACAATGGTTTCTGAGGTTAGATGAATTTAAAACGTGTTGTATAACACTCAACACAATATTGGGATACTATAAAACACCATACCTGCTGTTTAGATGTGAAAACCTGGGAAACCTGCAAATTAGCCACACAGAGAATAAACATCAAAACGCTATACTTGATCAAGCTGACTGCTATTCCCATTTTGTTAGTTTGTATTTATGCATATCAATGTAATCGACAACTACTTAATTTAAAGGTAGGCTATGCTTTGAACGTCATTTTACTTTGGTTCACCGTTTATCCAGTTCAGTAACTGAAGCTGATTTACACGAACTGAATGGATCTTTACAAAACGAGTCAAACACATACTCTGAGAAAAATGCAATGTTTTCTGTCTTGATATGCATCTAAAACTGTTGTACAAGACTCAACATAATATTAGGACATTTTAATACACCCCAACCTGCTCTTTGGATGTGAATTTGTGAATTCAGAAACTTAGCCTTTCTAGCTAACTGTACTCACCAAACCGCCATACACGATTCTTGATCGATTTGATTGCTATTAAAATTTGAATCACTTGTATTTATGTATACCAATGTATATTTGACAATTACACAATTTAAAGGTAACGTTAAGCTTAAAAAGGCAGTACTTTAATTCGGTTCACCGCATCAGTGCAGTAACTGAAGCCCTTGGCTGATTCAATCGAACTGAATCGAATCATTACAAAATGATTCAAATATTAAACGCATATTCTGCGGAATATACAATGTTTTATGAAGTTAGATGCATTTATAACTGTTGTATAACACTTAACACAATATTAGGACACTTTAAAACACCAAAACCTGCTGTTAAAATGTGAATTTGAGAAACCTGCAGACACAGTTTCGCCACAGCTAACAGAAAATTAACATAAAAAATGTATAGTAATGTACGATCGACAACTAGGCTACTTAATTTAAAGGTATGCTTTAAAAGGCAGTTTATACTTTGGTTCGCTGTTGATTCAGTTCAGTAACTGAAGCCCCTAATTGATTCAAATGAACTGAATCGAATTATTAAAAAGGAGTCAATTGAATTATTAAACATCACATTCTGAGAGAAAATGCAATGTTTTCTAACTTGAGATGCATTTAAAACTGTTGTATGAGACTTAATACAATATTAGGAAACTTTAATACACCCAAACCTGCTCTTTGGATGTGAATTTGTGAATTCAGAAATTAGCCTTTTAAGCAAATTGTACTCACCAGACCGCGCTTCATTGATTTGATTGCTATTTCCATTTTTATCATTTTTTTTATGTATCAATGTATATTTGACAACTACACTATTAATTTAAAGGCCCGCTTTAAAAGGCAGTACTTTAGTTCGGTTCACACTGCGTCAGTTCAGTAACTGAAGCCCTTGGTTGATTCAGTCGAACTGAACCGAATCATTACAAAATAATTGAAATTTTAAACGCATATACTGCGGAAAATACCATGTTTTATGTAGTTAGATGCATTGTTAACTGTTGCATAAGACTCAACACAATACTAGGACACCTTAAAACACCATAATCTGCTTTTAGATGTGATTGTGAAACCTGCAAATTAGCCACAACAAAAAATAAACATCAAAACACCATACAAGATACACGTTTGACTGGATTGCTTTTCACATTTTTCTGAGTTGTATTCATGCATATCAATGAATATTTTACAACTACTTAATCTAAAAGTAAGCTTTAATATAGTTCGCTGTTGATTCAGTTCAGTAACTGAAGCCCCCTTCCTGCTGAAAGAAACAGTATAAACCAGCCTAGGATGGTTGGCTGGCTTTAGCTGGTTGACCAGTCTGGTTTTAGAGGGGTTTTATAATAGCTTAGCTGGTCAGGCTGGAAAACGACCAGCTAAATCCAACTAAACCCAGCTTGGTTTTGGTTTAAGCTGGTTTTTGCAGCAGGGTGATTCAACCGAACTGAATCGAATCATTACAAAATGATTCAAAACGTATATTCTGCGAGAATTACTATGTTTTCTGAGCTTAGATGCACTTAAAACTGTTGTAGGAGATTCAAACACAATATTAGGATGAGAAGTGGTTTTCTCTTCAAGTGAACCCAGCGTTTCTAGTAGCCTATGTTTGTTTTTCTCTTTCAGGCTGATTTGGACATGGACTACATCAACTTTCTGTTGTCATCAGATCACAACATCTTCAACATCCTCAACGAAAACTCCAGCAACACTCCTGGAGGCTCAGACTGGATCCCTACAGTGGTTTCTGAAGCACCGATTCAGTCGGCATGGACTCCACAGCCTGATTCCAGTCCTTCTAAAACCACAGATCTGTGTTTACCTCAATATCAAATCCCATTTCATGCATCTATATCGCATGCATTTCAGGAGATTATGATGGAAAATGAGCTTCGAACTCTTCCTGAGCTTCTGTTTGTAGATCATGAGGCCCAAAATACACAAACAACCCAAAATTATTTAATTGGAGAGGCTGTAAATCCTGAATCTGACAGAAACAATGCAAGACAGCAAGATGAGCTTCCATCTGTTGATTCAGTCCCTCAAACACTGACTAAAAACATAGGAAATCATCAGAAATTGGAGTATGATGGAGGCAAAAGCATGGCAGACCAAGAACAACAGGATAAATGCCAACATGCGATAAATACAATTGACGGTGGAGACACAAACTCAGAGTTTCCCACTGATTCCCAAAGTCAAGTCAAAACAAACACAGCGAAAACTGAAGGAAATACTGTAAAGAAAGTGAAGAGATCCAGAAGACGTAAACACCGGAAGACCACGAAGCCCAATGAGAGATCAGCACCTGAAAATACAGACGAAAGAACAAAATCGACTGGAAAAACTCAAGGAAGATTGGAGAGAAGCAGAAGGACACAGCCAAATAATCCAGACGGGATCAGAAATACAGCAGTGTGAAGAGCAGAGAGAAGAAAACATGGACGAATTAGAGAGAAAAGTCAATAAAGACAAGAAACTAAATGTTAGAAAGCAAAGAAACATAGCAGGAAAGTATATTGATGTGTATACATGTAAACAACAAACTACAATGTCCGAAAAACAACAGAAGTCAATGAGAATGACCAATAAAACATTCAAATGAAGCACAGGAGTGTGGGCATTCACTTCATAAACGTCATTCCTACATTTTCTTTTCAGCTTAGGCCCTTTTTTAATCCGGGGTCGCCACAGCGGAATGAACCACCAACTTATCCATCATGTGTTTTATGCAGTGGATGCCCTTCCAGCTGTAACCCAGTACTGGGAAACACCCATACACATTCACACTCATACACTACAGCCAATTTAGTTAATCAATTCCTCTATAGCGCATGTGTTTTGACTTTGGTGGAAACAGGAGCACCCAGAGGTAACAACAACATGGGAGGAACATGCCAACTCCACACAGAAACACCAACTTACCAAGCTGGGACTCGAACCAGAGACCTTCTTGCGGTGAGTTGACAGCCCTACCCACAGCACACAGTCTTCATAAAAGTAATGAATTACATAATTTACACTTTATTTAAGTGAAGTTTCACAAACTAATTTGGAGAGAAGCATGTGATATGATTGATCAGCCTGATCTCACGAGAAAACGTAAGTATTTTACGTTTGTTCAGTTTAGTGGCTAATTCAGAGTTCAGTCGTATGAAAATGTACGATTTTTAAAAAGGAGGCGTGGCACCTAACCCCACGCCTAACCCCAACCGTCATTGGGTGATGAGCAAATCGTACTAAATTGTACGAATTAGATCGTACGAATTCATACAAATTAGCCACTAAATCAAAAAGTTACGAATTGCTGTGAGATCTGGTCTCTTATCTACAATCATTAGCTAGCCAATCAGATTAATCCATGCTCACTATATGTAGCCTAGCAAAAAACTACTCTTATCTTCGTTTTTCGAAGGTAAACTATCTCCGAGCTCTGGGTTCTCTCTCAGGACAGCATGCCAAACCTGCTAATAGCATAAAGCAATATCTAAGTGTGAACTCTTGAAATTACTTTAAGTACTGTTTGAATAGTCCGTGTTTTGAATCGGTACTATTTAAAATACATCTTAAAATCTCAATATAATGGAAAGAATGGAATGTTTGTGTTATATTGGAGTCAAACATGAGTGTTTCAGTTTAAAAACTAAATACATAACTTATGTAATGTAATGCTCAAGACAAACGATACGAGTCTATGGAAACAAAATCTTTCAAACCTTTCATAAATCAGTCAAATTTCTCACAGTTTATTCCTCAAGCATCTTGATACAAAACTGAGCATGAGCAATATCACAGGAGTAGCAGTGTGATATGGCTGTATATCAGCACTGGTGTGAGGCGTGCGTTGTGTCGAGGCTGCAGGCCAAGCGTCTTACACCCCATTCACACGGGACTTCAGCGTCAACGCTTGACTGAAGGCGTGTCTGAAGTTGGGGCTGACGCGATCGTCATAGCAGCGTCAGCCAATGAAATTCAGTCAGCAATAGGCCACTGTCTAGCTGGTGTATTTGCATACAGCGATCTGATTGGCTGACGCTTCTGTCGGCGCTTGAAAAGTTGAGCTAGTCCCAACTTCTGCAGTGAGCAATGCATCTGAAGCGGTAATACAGTTCAGTTCAGTAAAACACAAGTGTGAAGAGGCTGTGCGAGAGCTGAAATTGCAGAATGTTGCCCGGCTTTCAGCCAATCAGATTCAAGAACCAGACAGAACTGTTGTACATCTATCTATCTCTCCATCTCTCCGTATATGGTCATTTGTCGCAATTAATTGGAAGCATGTTCAATTGTCTTGCCAAATTAAATATTTAGTTAAAACCATTCAGCAAAATGGGAACTGTACTCCCTTACTTTCAGCAAATCAGTCATTTAATTACACCAAATAACGACCAGAGAACACATGTCATCTTTATTTAAGAGATTTAATATATTAAAGTATAAAATATGACACATCGGCAGAAATCTTCAACAGTCTGTGCCCCCCCCCCCATCATATACAGCTTAAAAATGACAAAATATACAATTATAAATACACGTACAGATCCTTCAGGAGTCATTATAAAACACATATAGAAGCTTTTGTTCAAAGGCACGATTATTTAGTGGCATATCCTCACAGTATTTTCCCCAGCGCCAAGATTTACATTTAAAAACAAGAAACCTAAAGTCTTCGCTCTCGTAAACGTCAGCCTTCACACTCTCATGTCGTTTCATTATTTAAGATGTTCATTCGCGGATGTTCATCCCAGTGTTGCGATACAGTAATAAGTCACATGTCTTCAATCTGTTTTCCGATTGGTCGTTCTGTAACCGTGGTAAATGCCATTATTATTGCCGTTGGTTTTTCCATTGGGAAGTCCGTTGTGATTTCCGTCCTCGAGTCCGCTGAAGTGCAGATACTCCGTTATTACCTTCCGGTACGTCGGATGAGTCAACAATATGTCTCGGAGAGAAGCTGTAAAAGAAGAACAGATAATTAATTATTAGTAGAGCTGCACGATTAATTGTTAAAAGTTCACAATATCAGACTCATTCCAGAATTGTGGGTCCATCTTACATTCATTCTTTAGTACACAATTTCAATCTGACGGTAAACTGAATCCATTATTAATGTAACATGCAAAGTGCAATAGAGACCATTTCACTCTTACTAATTGTTAATAAACTTGTTAATTTATCAGTAACAAGAGCTGACTATAACAGATGACAAAAATGGCAACAACAGAACTGACAATAGACGAACACATGAGTTGACAAAATAAGAGTTGATGATAATAGTTGACTGAGGCGGTTGACTAGATGAAAACAGTTGATGATAACAATTGACAAAAATAAAAGTTGATGGTAAGAGTTGAAAGGATAAGAGTTGACAGTTGACTACAACCAATAACAGACGAAGAAAAAAAAAAGACAATAGACAAAAACAGTTGATAGTTGACAAATCAATAACAGTTGACAAAACAACAGTTGATGAAATAAGAGTCGACTAAACAACAGAGCTGGTCACAATCGTTGTTGATAACAGTTGGTAATAGACAAACAGTTGACAATAACAATTGACAAAAAACAGAATAGACAACAAGTTCTTGGGTCACAGTTGACAAAACAATAAGAGTTGAGAGTAACAGTTGACGATAACCAATAACAAGATTCGACTAAAGAACAGAGCTGATCACAATAGTTGATGGTAGCAGTTGACAATAGACAGTTGATGATAAAGTTAGAAATAGACGAAAACAGAGTTGACGAAAACAATGACAAAAAAAAGTTGACTTAACCATTTTCATCAACGGTTATCGCTTAAACAATAACAGTTGATGAAAAACGAAAGTTGATTAACAAAGTTTGATAATAGTAAACTGTAACTCTTGACGATAACAGTTTGTAATAGACAAAAACGGTTGTTAAAAACAGAGTTGACGATAACAATTGACAAAAAACAGAATTGACAAAACAACAAGTTGACAGTAACAGTTGACTAACCAATAACAGACTACACAAAAACTGTTGACAATAGACAATAACAGTTGACGAAAAACAAGAGTTGGCGACCAGTAACAGAGTTGACGATAAACAATAACAGTTGATGAAAAACAAGAGGAGTTGACTAAACAGGGTTAACGAAAAAAAAAAAGTTGACAGTAACAGTTAACGATAAACAATAACAGACTAGACAAAATAAAAAAAACAACATTTGACGAAAAACAAGAGTCAACTAAACAATAACAGAGTTAATGATAATAGTTGACTAACAGTTGACGATAGACGATAACAGTTGGCAATAGACGAAAACGGTTGTTAAAAACAGTTGATATAAACAGAGTTGACGATAATAATTGACATAACAGAATTGACAAAACAACAAACTGACGGTAACAGCTGACTATAACCAAAAACAGACTAGATGAAAACGGTTGATGAAAAACGATAACATTTGGGGGAACACAAGAGTTGACAAAACAATGACAGAGTTGATGATAATAGTTGACTGTACCAGTACCAGAAAGCAGTTGATAAAAACAGTTGCTGAAAACAGTGCTAATGATAACAATGAAAAAAAAAAACAACTGTTATTATTTCAACACTAACAGTTGATGAAAAGTTGATGACAACAGATCTGATAACTAATAACAGTTGACAAAAACAAGAGATGACTTTAACAGCTGTCGATAAACAATAACAGACTATACGAAAATAAACATCTGATGAAAAACAAGAGTTGACAATTCAGTAAGAGTTGAAAGTAGTTGACTGTAACAGTTGACAATAGACAATAACAGTTTACTGTAGTAGAGTTGACGAAACAATAATCTAGTTGACGGTAGCGGAGTTGATGGTAGTTGATAACCAATACCAGTTGACGTAACAAGAACAATTGACATTTTCCACTATGTTGTATTTCATTATAAACATTACTTTTAGAAATAACGGGATATGTGTTATTCCAAATGGTTTTATTAAAAGTTTGTTGTAAAATAAATAAATAAATAAAATTATGAAAATAAATTAATAAATAATAAACAAAATAAATAATAAATAAATAAATAATAATAATAATAATAATAATAATAATAATACATAGAAAATTTATTCTTGGAGACGCAAAAATGTAGCCACAATTATAGAAAAATCACCCACATTAAATCTTAATTTACAATGACCATATTGTATAATGTTACCTATTGTACTTTACAATCCTTTTGCAACTGAACCGTTGTTAAAACATTTGTTTACTCTGAACATTTTTGTTAAAGCAATGCACATTTGTTTGTTATTAGACCAGTTAAAGTAACATTTTTGCAGTTTTGGTGATTAAATTGCAACAAATAAGCCGAGAAAACAGCATTTAAAAATCCACTTGGCAATTCAATACGAGTTTTAGCAATTAAACTGTTACACCAAAGAGGTGGAGACGAGCAACCATTCAAATTGCATTCGTCACTGAATATTTCATTCAAAGTTTTTTAAAATGACTATTACAGCTTTAAAAGGATCCCCTTTTCACAGCTAGGGTCAATATCATGGTGATATAGTGATAAATAATTAGACAAAAAAAAAAAGATATTTCGCAACAGAGTTTGATTACATCTGTAAGCCCAATGCAGTAAGTTATCTATATATTTAATTTATATTATTTTCAATTAATTACATCATTTATTAAAGAGTTGGTTTAATATTTCCATTCAGAAAAGTAGGAAAATCCAAATCATTATTATAAACCAAACAAAAAAATAATAGTTTCTCTGGGTTTCTCCAAAGTGGCGCGTGCGTGCGCGTGTTGTACCTTCAGTAGGCTGCCCCCTGCTGGTCAGAGCACTGTACATCTCTGTGATGCTTCTCTGAGGGATTCCCAGCAGCGCCCCCATCAGGCTGGACAGATCCTCTGCACTCAGCTGACCGTCCGCATCCGTGTCAAACCACTGCACACAGACCAAAGCAACATTCACACACTCATAAATGAAGACTGCACTGAAATGACCTCGCCGAGCAGCGAATATCAGTGTTGCTGCATAACACACTGTAAATCAGCCAGAACACACACTCTGCAGAACATGTTTATGACACGACACACCTACACACACACACACACACACAAATGCATACTCTGTGAATCTGTGTGTGAGAGGTGACGTTTGTGTGAACGAGAGAACAAATACGAACGCACACACACACACACTTACCATAAAGGCAGTGTGTATGAGCGACTCCAGACTCCAGAATCCAGAAACAGCAGAAACACTCAGACAGATCTGCCGCAGATCCACCATATCATCCTGAAACACACACACAAGCCACATTATTCCTCTACATCCAGTTAAGAAGTTGTGTTTGAGTGTATTGGTCAGGTTTTTGTCCTGTGTGCAACACTAGTGTCCTCCACACCTCCTCCTCCTCTGTTGTAGCTGTGTAATAACTCTAATCATTCAGTGGAGGGATATGGAGCTGTAATGCTCTCTAAACCTGCCGGAACTACTTTAGCTGTGCCTTTATCTGACAACCACCAAACGCCTGCGAGTGTCCATCAGCCAATCAGAATCCAGCATGTGTCCAAGTTAGTTATATTAACCGTGTAGTTTAAGACGGTCAGACAGACGATATTCATATTGTTTATGTAAAGGGCTGGCCCAGAGTGTGCTTTTAAGGCTTGGTTGCGTTTATAAGACTCATGCTTCACTTGTAGAAAATCAGGTTATCGCTCATTTATCTTACTTTGATTATAAACGGCTACTCAGATTTGCGTTGTAAACATTAAGTTAAAATGATATATTTTTATTTCATATATTAAAGGTTTTAGTTATGATAATCCCAAAATAACTCTGCTGAAATCCGCAGATTTTCAACATTATTCAGCGCAGAAACAGCAAATAATGTCCGCAGATTCCGTCTGGCCCTTCACATGATGACACACCGCAGATTATATTAAACTGACAGTGAAAGAGGGGCGGAGCTAAAAAAAAACCCACCCCCTACTCAATATTCAATTCCAGCAGGAAATGCATCATCACAGTGGAATAAAAGTCTGCATCATCTTCCGGTTCATTAGGAGCAAATATTTGATCTGTGATATTTCAGTTTATCTTAAAGGTGGACTGATTGAACATCTATTTTAATGCAACTCAGATGAATTCAAAAGTTTAGTATAGTATTTTTAAATTAATCATTATTGATTCAAAGCAGCTTTACAAACACTGCAGATCATGACATGACAGCAGTGAATAATGCCAGCTTACAGGAAACCTACAGCGGTTTCCCCTCACAAACACACTGCAGCTTTAATCAAGAGCTCATTCTCTAGCAGTAATGACCGTGTGTGTGTGTGTGTGTGTGTGTGTGTGTGTGTGCGCGCAGTTTATCAGAGCTGTTCTGGTTTAGACGCACGCGCACACACACACACACTTTACCTTTGAGTAAAGCGAGCAGATCTTCGCCGCCGTCTGCTTCTCCTCCAGCCCCAGCACTGTGGTCAGCTGATCAGCCGTTACCATGGTGATCTCGCCTGAGTGACAGCTGTCAATCATGTCCTTCATCACTGACTCCACACGAGACTTGGAGAAACTGAAGAGCAGGAGAAAAGACGAGTGACATACTCTATACACACACACACACACACACACCATATATGCACGCACACATACACACACAATATACAAGCAGTTGCACACGCACAAACACACAAACACACACACACAAACATGCATACAATACAAACACAGATACACAAAGCGACACACACACACACACACACACACACACACACACACACACATACACAAACATGCATACAATACAAACACAGATACACAGAAAGCGACACACACACACACACACACACACAAAATTTATGCACTCACAAAAACATACAGAAACACACACACACACACACACTTGCAAAGTTAAACATACCACACAAACATAGAATTTATTAACATAATATAAACACACACACACACACACACACACACACACACACACACACACACACACACTACCTGTTAACACTCAATACACAGAAAACACACACACTTGCAAACTTAAACGTAACGCAAATATATAACACAATCCACAATCAGACCAGCAGGGGGCAGCCTACTGAAGGTACAATACACACACACACATACATACATATATATATATATATAATTAACATAATATAAACACACACACAAACACAATAATATATATATATATATATATATATATATATATATATATATATATATATATATATATATATATATATATATATATATATATATATATATATATGCACACACAATATTTGCACTCACAACACACAAATATAATTCATTAACACACACACACACACACACACACACACACACACACACACACACACACACGTGAACACTTATGCACACACACACAAAAAACATCATGAGTGAGTCTATTCACATGAACACACACACACACACGCATGCACGTATACACACACACACTTACGAATACACTCCTGCACTCACTTATAAACACACTCACACACAGACAAACACAAAACAAAGTGCGTTCACAAACACACACTTATGAATACACTTGTGCACTTACTCCACACACACACACACACACTTGCAAACTTACCACACAAACATACAACCCACATATAATTGACATAATATAAACACACACACACACACACACACACACACACAGTCTCGTACCCCTGCTGGTGGAGCAGTCGGAGTGTTTCCTGAGCTGGAGGTTCGAGAGGAAGTGAAAGATTTCCCAGTTTTTGGACAGGAAATCCCTCCATCATATAATCAGTGGCGGGAACACCGAGAGCTCTGGACAAACACACACACACACACACACACGTTATTATTACTGCTACTTTTCATGAACTTGAAACACACACACACACACACACACACACACACACACACACACACACACACTTCAGTTATGATGAGGTCTGATTAGTCAGCTCCCCATATATACCTCTCTGTGTGTGTGTGTGTGTGTGTATGTATATACACACACACGTATGTATGCATGCATGTATGTATGTGTGTTTGTTCTGACCTGGCCATGAGCTTCTGCACGTTCTCTGCGTATAACTCTGGGTTCTGCTTCTCCTCTGCTGACGGAGTGTACACCGGGAGAAACTACAACCAATCAGAGCAGAGATGATTATTACTGGAGACATTCTATTGGCCACAGCTGTGCCAGAGATGGATATGATTGGCTCTCGTGTCTGTCAAAGGAAGCCCCACCTCCACAGTGATGCTGCTGTAGATCTGAGACGTGGTGTGCCAGAGCGCGCCCAGCCTGACAAATCAATCAAACAAACAAATAAATAAAAACAAATAAACATAAAATTAAAATGTACACAATTAAAATAAATATAACACAAACAAAACACACACATGCACACAAAGACACACGTAGGTAAATATCAATGAACAAAGCACACAAACACATGAAGCAGCAACACACAAAACAATACCATAAACAAACAAACGCACAGATACTAAACACAAAGCCTGAACACACACACACACACACACACACACACACACAAACATACTAAACAAAAAATGAACAAACACGGGAAAAACCCACACAAACCAATGCACATGCACACACATGCGCACACACACACACGCGCACACACACACGCGCACACACACACGCGCACACACACACGCGCACACACACACGCGCACACACGCGCACACACGCGCACACACACACGCGCACACACACACGCGCACACACACACGCGCACACACACACGCGCACACACACACGCGCACACACACACACACACACACACACACACACACACACAAATACACAGTTATATTAAATACACAAAACCAAAAACAAACAAACACCCAGACAAAATAAACAGCACATGTGCACAAACACACAAAATAAACAATATACACATAAATACATAAATAAATAATTATATATACACAAATAAATAAAAAAATAAATACACAAATGAATAAATAAATATACACAAATAAATAAACAAACAAACAAACAAACAAACAAATAAATAAATAAATATACACAATTAAATAAACAAATAAATACACATAAATGAATATATAAATAAATATACTCAAATAAATAAACAAATAAATAAATAAAAACAAACAAATAAATAAATACACACAAATAAATAAATACACACAAATAAATAAATAAATAAATACACACAAATAAATAAATAAATACACACAAATAAATAAATAAATACACACAAATAAATAAATACACACAAATAAATAAATAAATAAATACACACAAATAAATAAATAAATATACACAAATAAATAAAGAAATATACACAAATAAAGAAATAAATATATAGAAATAAATAAAAACAAAAATAAATAAATATACAAAAATAAATAAATATACAAAAATAAATACACAAATAGATAAATAAATATACACAAATAAATAAATAAATAAATAAGTAAAATAAACACATAAATGAATAAATAAATAAATGAAATAAAAAAAATAGTTAATAAATTAATTAATTACATAATAATAATTATCAACAGAAAAAAAAACAACAAAAAAAACATCATTCTTACCATGACAGTCCTTTCCAGGTCCAGCGCACAGTGTCCTGCAGATCAATCAATAACTCATCACACTCCTATTCATTTGATCAATTAATTACTCACATTATTACCCATTATATCACACAATACACATTTTAGAGCATTTGTAGAACTAAAAAGTGGTCGTTTATAGTGTCTGCATAAAATTATATTTAAAAAAGTTAAACGCAAATATATTAATATAGTAACTTACAACAAGACGTAAATAAAACATTAAAATAAATGAAAATGTTCAATAAAACTAAAAGCTATTCTGTACAACAATCCAATAATCGAAATAATTTATCAGTAACTTTTAAAACTATTGACAAATATATATATTTAACAACATTTAATATATAACAAAAAATTAACAACTCCATAAATCAATACGTGATTTTACACACAAAATAAATGTCAAAAATAATAAATATGATTTTTCAGTTCAATAAAAAACTTAAACTTCCTTCATGATCATACTAAATTAGGCATGTGCTGGTTTTTAATGGTGTGATAACCTTAGATAAAAATACCACTGTTTCACGGTGTTGTGTTTACTGCTTTAAAATAATTTATTTTTAAATGTCTTGGTAAAAAATAAAATAAATAAATAAATAAAAAAATTATAAAATAAAGAAATTTATAAAAAATAATATTAAATAAATAATAATAATAATAATAATAATAATAATAATAATAATAATAATAATAATAATCATCATCATTATTATTATTATTATTATTATTATTATTATTATTATTATTATTATTATATATAACCCCCCCCCCCCCCCCCCCCCCCCCGATTAAACACAATACATTACATTTTAGGAAAGATTTTAAATATTTTGGAACAGTAAACATTTGAGGCTACACAACTAAAATAAACCACTTCAAAAACACAGATTTCTTTAAAACACAATAAAATAAATAAATAAAAACTCTACACAGACCTTAGAAACAGTATAACAATACATTTTTGCTGTTTTAATACATTGACTCCTCCAAACCACGGTAAACCTTGAAATCATCCCATGCCTATACTAAATGTGCATTTATTTTAATTTACAAAATACCGTCTCCAAGTGTGCATTTATTAGTGTAACAAATATGAGCATTTCAGGGCCAAACAGATCTTAATAGCGTATTTTAATATCTGGAACAAATTAGGTTTAGTGAGTGTTTTAACAGTGTGTGTGAGTGTGTTCATATTTAGTTCTCCATGAGCTCTACAGTTACATAAACAGCTAATAATAGCAGCTTCAGGCATTCATTCACTGCACACACACTCTCACACACACTCACCGGCTGACTGCAGTAGTGGAGCAGCACAGGCTGAACAGGAACACCAGCCACAAACGCACCTGTGGACATGCACGGACTAATTAACACAATTAAATGTTCTCCATCACATTTAACCCTTATGCACTGTTCAGACTTACTCTCCTTTGGTGACGTTGGTGCTGTTTACCCCCTTTGACTTCTATTATAGTCACGTTTATTGCCTGTAAAGCCATGGCAGCATATAATCATGCATTCTTGATTGTTTCTGGTGTTCCCTGCTGGGATTAAGAGGTGAAGTGTGTCATTAATACTGCTGATCATCAGCGTGCAGCGTTAACCCTTTATATCGGCTGGTGCTGAAGAGTTTCTGGCTTTTATATGGAGTTCAGTGGAGTAAAACAGCAGATTATAGTGTGTGTGTGTGCACAAATACACTAACTGTTTACTGTTCTGTGACAGTTGAGGGGCTTATTTTGAGTTTCTCAGACATATCAGATGCACAAAGATCTCTCTCTCTCACTAAACTCCATATAAAAGCCAGAAACTTTGCTCTGTAACTGATGATCAGCAGTATTAACTAGATTATTAAAGTTCGTCGAGACAAACTTTAGGCTGGCTTGAGAAAGCTTAGACTAAAAGTTTTAAAGCAGTTTTAAGTTTAAAGTAGCTTAAAGTTTTAAAAGTAGTTAAGTTTGAGGTTGTTAGCATGATTCTAGCATGAATTAGCATGTTACTAGCATAGATAGATAGATAGATAGATAGATAGATAGATAGATAGATAGATAGATAGATAGATAGATAGATAGATAGATAGATAGATAGATAGATAGATAGATAGATAGATAGATAGATAGATAGATAGATAGATACATACAGTTTATAGATATACAGACAGACAGATAGAAGCAGTTTGAAAAAGGATAGATAGATAGTTTTGAGGTCACAAAGTTAGATCTAATGTTTCGCAATGGAACTCTATGGGACAGTTGTTGCTAGGTTGCAGTATCTGGTAGTTAGGGGTGTGGCTAGAAAGTTAAAAGCTCATCAGTTATTGGCAGTTTGGTAGTCCGAGTTAAATGAGCTCAGCCATTAGTCTGGTGGACAGTCTGATGCAGAGTTATGAGCTCATAAAGTTTGATCCCATGTTAAGTCAATGAGAGTCTTTTAAATGGAGGTCTATGGGACAGTTTCTAAGGTCCAAAAGTGGTTGCTAGGGCGTGGCTAAAAAGTTAAAAGCTTATCAGTTATTGGCAGTTAGGTAGTCTGAGTTAAATGAGCCCAGTTAGAAGTCTGTGCGACAGTCTGATGCAGAGTTATGAGGTCACAAAGTTTGGTCCAATGTTAAGTCTATGGGATTTTTCCGATGGTTCCGGGATGTTTTTCGGAAAACTGAAAGTCGGATCAGTCGGAAAAGATATAGCAACCCGAGTCAGAATAGTTTGGAGGTCTGGTGTGAGTTTGGTGGTCATAGCTCGAAAACTCTAGGAGGAGATGCGTTTTGTTTTTTAGTCTCAGAAGAAGAAGAAGAAAAATATTAAGTTTAAATAGGATTTCAGTAGTCTGGCTTGTTTCTCAAGCCAGCCTAATGACACATTTCACCTCTTAAATCCCAACGGAGGAATCCAGCAGCAGTCAAGAATGCCTGATTATGTGCTGCCATGGCTTTACAATCAATACATGCGAATATAATGAAGGTCAATGGGTCAAAAATGGCACCAACATCACCAAAAGGGAGTCAGTCTGAACAGAGTGTGTTGATGAGTTTTGAAAAAGTTTCCCAAAATATGTGTTCAAATCAGATTTGTCAGCAAAAATCATCACATTTGCTGAAGCACAGAACGAGGAGGTCAAATGAAGACTCAAAAACAGCCCAGGGTGGATGAAGATGATCCAACAGCACACGAGAGACATGACACATTTGATAATTATAGTGTGAACAGTGAGATATTACATGAGAGAGTGTGTTACCAGGTTTGAATTTGATCAGCGCTCGGCCATTAGTTGTTGTTCCTTCTGGAAACATGAGCATCTGCGAGAGAAATGGAGCACAAGATGATCAAACAGAACATGAAATACACGCACGCACGCTGCAAAAGAGTGTGTGTATGAGAGATAGTGAATGATAGTGAATGAGAGGAAGCATGCGAGTTAGTGTGTGAGTGTGTGTGTGTGTGTGTGTGTGAGTGAGAGAGAGAGAGAGAGAAAGTGAGCATGTGTGTGCATGTCTGAGAGTAAATGAGAAGGAGAATAAGTGTTAATGTGTGTGTGTTTGAGAGAGAGAGAGAGAAAGAGATAGTGCGTGTGTGTGTGTGTGAGTGAGAGAGAGAGAGAGAGAAAGTGAGCATGTGTGTGCATGTCTGAGAGTAAATGAGAAGGAGAATAAGTGTTAATGTGTGTGTGTTTGAGAGAGAGAGAGAGAGAAAGAGATAGTGCGTGTGTGTGTGTGTGAGTGAGAGAGAGAGAGAGAGAAAGTGAGCATGTGTGTGCATGTCTGAGAGTAAATGAGAAGGAGAATAAGTGTTAATGTGTGTGTGTTTGAGAGAGAGAGAGAGAAAGAGATAGTGCGTGTGTGTGTTTGAAGAGTGTGAGTGAATAGGTTAGAGCAGGGGTGTCCAAACTCACTCCTGGTGGGCCGGTGTCCTGCATATTTAGCTCAAACTTGCTTCAACACACCGGCCAGGAAGTATTTCATTTACTTTCTAGGTTCTGGGTAAATTCTAGTATTTTCTAGGTTTTAGTACAGCTAGAAAGAGCTTGATTAGCTGGTTCAGGTGGGTTTAATAGAGGTTGGAACTAAAATATGCAGGACAGCGGCCCTTCATGACCAAGCTTGGACACACCTGGGTTAGTGTGTGTGTGTGTGTGTGTGTGTTAGAGATAGATAGCATTTGTGTTTGTGTGGAGTTTGTGAGTGCAGGTGTGTGTGATTGAGTAGGTTGGTGTGTGTGTATGCGCGCGTTCATACCTGAGGCCAGTGTCCATCAGACGTCACTCTCTCACAGATCTGAGACACGCACTTCTTCCTGGATTCCGGATCTTTTCGACTGACAAGCACAGACTGATTAAACTCCAACAGAGCTGGAACACACAGATGACACTTCAGTGTGTGCGCGTGTGTGTGCGTGCGTGTGTGTGTGTGTGTGTACAGCATTAACATTTATAATGACAAGAATATAAAGATAAGCTTGTGTTAAGCGCATACTGTGTATTTCCATTTTTAACAGTCACATTTAACTGAAAAATACAACAAAAAACTACTAAATTAAAAATAACTTAATAGTTAAAAATGGATTAAAACTATATACATAATCTAGAATAATAACAATTAGAATAGATCCAAAACGGATCTTGAACATAGTTTGAACCCAACCAGAACATTACTTAATTATAGCCAGAACATAGCTTGAACAAAGCTTGAATAGAACTAGAATACAATCAGGTTTTGTTCAGGCTACATTCTGAATACTCCTTCAATATAGCCAGAACAAAGATTGAACATAACCAGAACATATCTTGAACAGCCAGAAAATAGTCTGACCTGACCATATCAAAAACAAAGCATTAACATATCTAAAACCCAAGCAGAATATAACTTGAACATAGCCAGAACATAGTATGACCATAACCAGAATATATATATATATATATATATATATATATATATATATATATATATATATATATATATATATATATATATATATATATATATATATATATATATATATATATATATATAAAAACAAACATAGTCGGGGAAAAAAAAGCCTTAACATAGCTTAAAAAGAACCAGAATATATATTGAACACAGCCAGCATATAGCCTGAACCAAACTTAAACATAGAATATAACTTTAATAAACATAAATGTGGCCTTTAACAAACCTTTAACATAGTTTCAACATAACCAAAAAACAACCTGAATATAACCAGTTTATATGCCGAACACAGCTCGAAAATAACTTGAACATAACCAGAATACAACAACATAGCTTGAACATAACCAGAATACAACAACATAGCTTGAACATAACTAAAACGTTGCTTAAACATAACTTGAACATACCCAGAATATAGCTGGAACAAAGCTTAGGAATAGCTTAAATATATCTTAAACATTACTTGATATAGCCAGAACAAAGCATTAACTTAGCTTGAACGTAACCAGAATATAGCAAGATTATAACTGGAACAAAGATTTAACATGGCTTGAACTTAATCAGTATATAGCCGGGACACACAGCCTGAACATAACCAGAAAACAACCTGAATATAACCAGAATATATGCAGAACAAAGCTTGAAAATAGCTTGAACAAAACCAGAAAATAACAAACACAGATGGGAAAAAAAGGTCTAACGATGCTTGAACGTAAACAGAACATTACTCGACTAAAGCCAGAACATAGCTTGAACAAAGCTTAAATATAACTAGAACATTCCTTTAATATAGCCCGGACAGAGAACATTACCAGAACATATCTTGAACATAGCCAGATTTATATTAGCTTCAACATAACCAGAAAACAACCTGAATATAACCAGATCATATGCAGAACACAGCTCGAAAAATAGCTTGAACATAACCAGAATATAACAACAACATAGCTGGAACAAAGCATTAACATAGCTTAAACATAACTTGAACATAGCCAGAACAAAGCTTTAAGCTTGAACGCAACCAGAATATATCCAGATTATAACTGAAACACCGATTTAACAAGGCTTGAACTTAATCAGAATATAGCCGGGACACAGCCTAATCATAACCAGAAAACAACCTGAATATAACCAGAATAGATGCAGAACACAGCTTGAAATTAGCTTAAACATAACAAGAACATAGCTGGAACAAAGTTAACAGATTAAACATGGCCTAAACATAACTTTATATAGCCAGAACAAAGCTTTAACATAGCTTGAACATAACCAGAATTTAGCCAGAATGAAGGTTGAACATAACCTGTACAAATAAGTGTGTCGGTAATAAACTCCACTGAATGACTGTCTCAGTGTATTATAGTATAACCCTCACCTCCAATCACAGGCAGTTTGGCGTTCTCGGAGCGGGACACGACGATGGGCAGCCCGGTCACACTGAGCACTAGCATATCCAGAAAGCTGCTGTGCGGCGCTACGGCTAACACCGGTGCCTCCTTCAGCCCCGCCTGCCGACCTTTGACCCTGACCCACAGGAAGCCCACGCAGAAGAAGACGGCGCGGCTCAGGAACACCATGACGTGGTGGAAGAGCCAGCGGCGCCAGCCCCGCACCGGCTCCGCCCGCCGCGACTCCGGCAGACCAGCCAATCGCAGACGAGCTATGGGCCACATCAGCAGGAAGAAGAGAACGGCGAGAGTGATCCGCACAGGAAATAGAAACACACCCAAAACGAGTCCCTGAGATACACAGAAGAAGAGCGTCAGAAATATTCGACAGAAAATGCATATAATTGAGGGCGAGGCAGTGGAGCAGTATGTAGTGCTGTCGCCTCACAGCAAGAAGGTCGCTGGGTCGAACCTTGGCTCAGTTGGCGTTTCTGTGTGGAGTTTGCATGTTCTCCCTGCCTCCGCGTGGGTTTCCTCCGGGTGCTCCGGTTACCCCCACAGTCCCAACACATGCGGTACAGGTGAATTGGGTAGGCTAAATTGTCCGTAGTGTATGAGTGTGTGTGTGGATGTTTCCCAGAGATGGGTTGCAGCTGGAAGGGCATCCGCTGCGTAAAAGCTTGCAGGATAAGTTGGCGGTTCATTCCGCTGTGGCGACCCCGGATTAATAAAGGGACTAAGCCGACAAGAAAATGAATGAATGCATATTAATGAGGGCAGTGTTTCCCAACCCTGTTCCTGGAGGCACACCAACAGCACACATTTTGGATGTCTGCCTTATCGGACCTCTTAACTTCAGGGGGCTGTGTTTCATAAAGGTTGATTAGAAAAGCGGAGATTAAAGTCCAAAGCCTGACTAGAATGAGCTGAACTAAACGCCCACGCTTTAATAGGTAACAGCAATCATTTGATCTAACTAATCGAAGTTCAGTCTAAATCAGGGGTCACCAATCTCGGTCCTGGAGGGCCGGTGTCCCTGTGGGGTTTAGCTCCGACTTGCCTCAACACACCTGCCTTGATGTTTCAAGTATACCTAGTAAGAGCTTGATTAGCTTGCTTAGGTGTGTTTGATTAGGGTTGGAGCTAAAATCTGCAGGACACCGGGCCTCCAGGAACAAGTTTGGTGACCCGTAGTCTAAATAATCTAGATAAGTGCTCGTGCACGTTACTGACGTGAAACCTTTGACACCGCATAGGAAAATATCTGTTCAATATATATCAATATTCAATATATATTAAAGTGAGGCTACTCATATACAAGTACACGCCTCACCGATCTCTCTTTTAATTGAATGTTTTCTACAGCATGCTTTACAGTAATATATTAGTGCGTATACATTAGATTATTCAGTACCAAAGCAAAGTTTGGATCTAATAAAACAAATAATAAACTGAAGATCAGTCCAGTGCAGGTGAATTGGGTAGGCTAAATTGTCCGTAGATATGAGTGTGAAAGAGTGTGTGGATGTTTCCCACAGATGGGTTGTAGCTGGAAGGGCATCCACATATGCTGGATAAGTTAGCGGTTCATTCCGCCGTGGCGACCCCTTATTAATAAAGGGACTAAGCCGACAAGAAAATGAATGAATCAATGGATATGTTAATATGGCTTATTTCTGAAAATCAACACTAAAATGTTCTGCTCGTCTATAAAAAGCTTCTTGATTTAAGATTGTTTAGATATTTGGACTAGAAACAAGACAACAATCTGAGTAAGAGAAGCGTTTTCTGCAGTGTGTAACTTTACTAAAGTTTTAAAGGGATCGTTCACACAAACAACAAGTGTCCTCAAGTGTTTCCAGACCTTTATGAGTTTCTTTTTTCTGTTGAACACCAAAAGCAGATAATTTGAAGAATGTTGGAAAACAGTAACCATTGACTTGCATAGTAGGAAAAAACAAATACTACAGAAGTCAATGATTACAGGTTTCCAACATTTATCAAAATATCTCCTTGCGTTCAGTAGAAGAAACAAAATAAATGATGACGTTATTAATGACATTACTGTGCCTTTAAGCTGAGCATTGTATAAATGCCATTATTACACTGCAGCATGTGCACGCGCAGATTTTTAGCCGTCATTAATTCTGTTTATTTACTTGAGTAAATGTGTGTAAATCAAAATTTATTTAGTTTTTTAACTAATTACAGTAATATTATTGACTAATATGAAAATGTTCATTTGATTTGTGTACACTACAGTTTGTACAGTCATATTTTCAGTCTTTTAGTATATATATTATATGAGAAACTTGCTTTGTTTACCAAATTAAGTGAATCTAATTAGATTTGCAATTTAAACATTAAATAAAAGTTAAAAAGGTGTTACTTTTTATTTCACTAATTAAGGTTTTAGTTACGATACTCCCAAAATAATTCCGCAGAAATCCACAGATTTTTACCAAAATTCTCCGCAGAAATAGCAAAAAGCATCAGCAGATTCTGTCTGGCGCTGAGCATGTGCAACACAATGAATCTAAACAGCACGGTAGGAGTTTGTCTGAACCAGGACTGCTCAAACTCAGCCCTGGAGGGCCGCTGTCCTGCATATTTAAGTTCCAACCCCAATCAGACACACCTGAACCAGCTAATCAAGCTCTTTCTAGGTTCACTAGAAAGCTCCAGGCAGGTGTGTTGAAGGAAGTTGGAGCTAAACTGTGCAGGACACTGGCTATCCAGGACAGAGTTTGGACATCTCTAGTCTAAACACACCTAAGCCACTAATATATTTATAGTCAGTCAAGTGTATAATCATCCTAAATTAGCTTTCAAACTCGGGCTGCACGATATTGGAAAAATCTAGCACTGTGATCAGTTTTTATTTTGTGATGTTTATATTGTGAGATGAAAACAATTTCCCCAGATGACTTCTTCATATCTCTATTCAGGAATGATTCATACTGTTAGATTGATCAGGATGATTCTGCAGTGAGTGGATCTTCGTTAAATCTGATTCACAATCTATACAATTTATTACTTATTTATCTAACTTATACAGTTTATAACTTATCTATACAATTTTAACCCCCCACCCCCCCCCCCCCCCCCACCCCCTTCACATTTTCATTGTGGTCTGTTCCATTTGCAGGTTATTTCTGCATTTGCATGTGTTGTGAGTGTTTTTATACACGCGTGTAGTCACTGATTGATAATTAATGTTTAATATTTGCATCTCTAAAAAATCTAATAAACAATCTGTGGACTTTTTGGGGTCCCCAGACACGTTTTCATTGTGTTCTGTGCAAATCGCCGGTCATTTCTCCATGTGCATGTGTTTTGAGTATTTTTATGCATAATCTATATATACAATCAAGAAAAAGATGCAACAAGAATAAGTGATTTATCATGTCCCGAGACTAACAGTGTTCCAATACAGTGACTGAATGATAAAACTACAAATAATTCAATAAGATAATAAAATAAAATAAAAATAATCATAGTTGTCGGCGCAATAGCTTAGTGGTTAGTGCGTCGACATATGGTGTTCGAATCCCAGCTTGAGGACATTTCTCTACTGCCCCCCCCCCTCCCCCCAACTTCGTTTCCTGTCTAAATACTGTCCTCTCAAATAAAAGGCAAAAAAAAATGTATTTAATAATAATCATAAAGTCACTTGTACAGTTTCTTAAACCTGATGCTTTTAACATCATTATAATAACAACAACAACAATAAATAATAATAATAATAATAATAATAATAACAACAACAATAATAATAATAAATATTAATAATAAAAATGATAATAATAATAATAAATAATATTAATAAATAATAATAGTAACAACAACAACGAATATTAATAAATAATAATAATAATAATAATAAATTATAATTATAATATTAATAAATAATAATTATAATAACAACAACAACAACAACAAAAACATTAAATAATAATAATAATAATATTACTAATACTACCACTAATAATAAATAATAATAACAAATAATAATAATAATAATAATAATAATAATGATTATTATTATTAATAATAATAATAATAATTAATAACAATAATAATAAATTATAATTATGAAATTTATAAATTAATAATAATAATAATAATAAATTATAATTATAATATTAATTAATAATAATGATAATAATGATAATAATAATAACCACAACAATAATAATATTAATCATAACAAAAAAATAATAATAGAAATTTGCTGGCGTCTCTGAAAGTGCCCATCATTATATCATCAGTTTATATTGGTCACTATCTCAAATTCTGTATTTTATATTTCTTTATCAACTAAAACCTGATTAATTATATATTTTTTATTAACTAAAACATAATTAAACCTGATGCTTTTAACATCATTCTACAGTCACAGGCATCAAAAACACATGCACATGATCAATTATAATACAAGCTCTACATTGCACATATCCTGTGATCTGACTATAGTTAATGATCACACTGCCACATTCGTGCTGAATCCATATATTGTGCAGCCCAATATCAAAAATAAATCAAATTTAGTGTATATATTTGGTGATTTACATGCTGAAACGGCGCTGTAAATAAAACACAACCTTTTGATTACTATGCATTTTATTAATTAATGTTTGACAGTTTAGTTTGGCTTTCTAAAGCGCTAAAACACACTGTCAAGTTTACAGAATAAAACTACAGCAGATAACAGGACTTTTCTGGACTACAAACATGATTTACTACCAGCTTTAATTCCTCTACCAAGCACATGATTCCAGGAACAGCAGTGCACAGTGTTATAGATATCTAACTTTATATCTTAGGTATAAATATTATGCCAGGTTGGCTTTTCAGGAGGATAACCTCAAGCTGTTTGGGATTAACGGCACTTAAAATAACTATTTAATCATTTACATAAACCTTTATGAGCTTTACTTTCTTCTGTTGAACACAAAACAAGATATTTTAAACAACGCTAGAAAAAACAACCATTGACTTCCACAATAAATGACGAGGAGATGTTCATTTTGGTTGACTGGTCCCCTTAAAAATTTAAATAATAAAGATATTTGCTGGTGTCTCTGAAAGAGACCATCATTATATCTTATTATATCGGTTTATATATTGGTCATTTCGAATTTAGTATTATATAGCCACTTATTAATCAGCTGACAGGGTAAAATGATTACTGGATTACATTTTACCAACTAAATTCAGCTCTCAATGTCAAAGCAACTGAGTGACCATTCGACCTTCATCTGTTCAAAGTACAATAGAATTATTATTATTTCAGCTTTTTAAAGCTGCTTTGACACAATCTACACTGTTAAAAGCACTATAAAAATTATAATATTAATAAAATAAGACACATCACTAACTAAATCTGCTCCCAGCAAACGGAACATTCCCCTAATGTTCTCATTATGGTTTCTGTTTGGTTAATTGATTAATACAGTTTTGTGGTTACGTTAACCAAAAACTAACCTTCACAAAACGTTCAATTGAACATTTTAGGTAACAATTTAAAGAGAGCTGTTGCTTTAAAAGCCTTTTCAGGAGGATAACATCGAGCTGTTTGGCATTAAAGAGAGAGTTTAACTAAAAATGAACATTTAATCTTTTACTCAGACATTTAAATAAACTATTATGTTATCCGTTCAGCACAAAATAAGATTTTCTGAAGAATTCCATTGAGTTCCAATGTAAATGACTAGGAAATGTTAGTTTTTGGGTGAACTGTCCACTTAAAATAAAAAAATAAATAAATAATAAATAATTAAATAATAATAATAATAATAATAATAACAAATAACAATAATAATAATAACAAATAATAATGATAACAAATAATAATAATAATAACAAATAATAATAATAATAATAATAATAATAATAATAATAATAACAACAAATAATAATAACAAATAATAATAATAATAACAAATAATAATAATAATAATAATAATAACAAATAACAACAATAATAATAATAACAACAAATAACAATAATAATAATAACAACAACAAATAATAATAATAACAAATAATAATAATAATAATAACAAATAATAATAATAATAATAATAATAATAATAATAATAATAAATAATAATAATAATAATAATAACAAATAACAATAATAATAATAATAATAACAACAAATAATTATAATAACAAATAATAATAATAATAATAACAAATAACAATAATAATAATAATAATAATAATAATAATAATAACAAATAATAATAATAATAATAATAATAACAAATAATAATAATAATAACAAATAACAACAACAATAATAATAATAATAATAATAATAATAATAAATAAAAATAATAATAATAATAACAATAATAATAATAATAATAATAATAATAACAAATAATAATAACAATAATAATAATAACAAATAATAATAATAATAATAACAATAATAATTATAATAACAATAAATAATAATAGTAATAATAATAATAAATACTAATAAAAATAATTTTAATAATAAAATAATAATAATAATAATAATATTTAAGTCTCTGAAAGTGACCATCATTATATAATCAGTTTATGTTAGTCAATAGTTCAAGTTCAGTATTTTATATCCCTTTATTAATAAATTGACAAGTAATTTAAGATGTTAAAAGATTACTGGAGTACATTTTATAAAACAAAATACTGCTTTTCCATGTCTAAAATTTAAATTAAGAGTATAAAAAGCAACTTCTGAGTGAGTATTACTTGTACTTCATCTATTCTATCAGATAAAGTACAGCAGAATTATTATTTTTGAAGGTTTTTAAAGCTGCTTTGACACAATCTACATGGTTAAAGTTATAAAAATTAAATATTAAGAAAATACAACATATCACTAAAAAAATCTGCTCCCAGCACATGGATCTCATTGTAGTTCTCGTTTGGTTATTTATTGATTAATACAGTTTTGTGGTTACGTTAACCAAAAACCAACCTTCACAAAACGCTCAAGGGACATTTTGGTAACAATTTATAGAGAGCTGTTGCTTTAAGAGTCTTGTTCTAGTGGGTCAAACCAAGTAAACATCATCTTATGTACACAATAATCACAGTCGCCAAATTATTAATCTCGGTTGCCATGGTGATTAATATACCGAACACGCGCAACAGATGTTATATGTCGTCAGCACGCAACTTTCTCACACACACACACACACTGCAGAATCACACACGAACACATGGACTTTTCACCTGAATGCGCTGGAGAGCGGTCAGATTGACCTCATGGATGAACGGATGAGCGGTTTGTCCTTTATTCTTCAACATCCTCCAAACGCTGCAGAAAAGCGAGGAAAACACGCCGGGGAAAGAGCGGATAAAAAGTTAAGATGGCGCTGTCAATAAAACTAAACTTCGCGAGTGCTCGAGTGACACACACACGCGAGCTTATCTGTTAAAATACTGACGTAAAACACAAACTGCGAGGACTTCCAGCCGACACGCACAAACTGAACTCAGACTGAAACTGAAGATGAGGAACACGTTTTTATGACCCCGCCCCCCTACATGTAGAGCCATCAATCACACTGACCACGCCCCTTCTAATGCGCATACCTGCTGACCTTGTCGCCAAAAGAGATACAGCCGCGGCCGAAAGTGAACGAGAATTATTTATATAATGAATTATAACAGCTATTATTTGTATTTTATTAACGTCTATCATTAATCAACCATAACAGGAATGTTAAAAGAGTAATTCTGCCAAGTATTATTCATATTATTTATTAAAATATCTAATAAATTGGCAGTATAAAAAAAATATGAATGACTAAATGTAAATGTAATAAATTGTATTTTATTGACGTCTACCCCTAATACAACATTCATATTAATGAAAAACAGTAATTATACCGAGTATTATTTATACGATTTATTAAAGGACCCATTAATTATATTTTATTACCATCCACTCCTACACCAATCCTAAATCCAACCATCACAGTAATGAAAAACAGTAAATTTTGCAAGCATTATTTATATTATGTATTAAATTATCCATTAATTATATTTTTAACATCTCCCACCAACTCCAACCATCACAGTAATGTAAAAACAGTAATTATACAGAGATTTATTAATATTATTTATTAAATTACCTATTAAATTGTATTTTATTAACGCCTACCCCTACACCAAGCCCCACAGTAATGCAAAACAGTAATTATACTGAGTATTATTCACATTATTTAATAAATTACCCATTAATTGCATTTTATTAATGTCTACTCCAATATAACTCTAAACCCAACCCTCACAGTAGTGTAAAAACAGTATTATTTATATTATTTATTTTCATACCCATCAAATTGTATGTTATTGACGTCACCCCTACCCCAGCTGCCAGCTTTAAACCCAAGCCTCACGGTAATTTAAATATATAAATTATTGTTGAACAGTCTGCACAAAAAGTATGCTAGATGTGAGTATCTGCAGCTGTATCCCATCTAGACTCTACCCTGGCCCCACCCTCTAAACACACAAATCGCCGTTTGGCCACGCCCACATGTCACTCATCGAGGCCTTGCCCATAAATACACGCCCAAAGTCTGAAAATAGAAACCAAATAAAAAAAAAATGGTTTCTTTAAAACTGTGCTAAAGTTCATCAGGATAAGAACAGAAATAATAATATTTATTTTAAGAACACTCCAACTTCCACTCTGTGTGAATAAAATATGACCACTTTGCATGTTTAAAGGGACAGTTCACCCAAAAATTATAACTCTGTCACGTCATTTACTCGTTTCAAACCTTTTATGAGTTTCTTTTTTCTGTTAAACACTGAAGGAGATATTTTGAAGAATGTTAGAAACCTGTAACCATTGACTTTCATTGTATTTTTTTCCTACAATGGAAGTTAATGATTACCAGTTTTCAGCTTTCTTGAAAATCTTTTCTTTTATGTTTATGAAGGTTTATAACCACTTGAGGGAAAGTAAATAGTGAATACATTTTCATTTAGGGGTGAACTGTCTCTTTAAACTGGGTTCCTGACTTTTCCTTCAGCTCAGTCCCTTTATTCATCAGGAATGGCCACAGTGGAATGAACCGCCAACTATTCCAGCATATGTTTTACGCAGCAAATGCCCTTCCAGCTGCAAACGAGTACTGGGAAACACCCAAACACTGAGCCACTGTGTCGCCTTGACTTCATTTAAAACTTTTTCATTCATTTTCTTGTCGGCTTAGTCCCTTTATTAATCCTGGGTCGCCACAGCGGAATGAACCGCCAACTTATCCAGCACGTTTTTTACGCAGCGGATGCCCTTCCAGACGCAACCCATCTCTGGGAAACACCCACACACTGAGCCTCCGTGTCGCCTTGACTTCATTTAAAACTCTGTCATTATTTTGATTATGTTTAATGATAACCTGTGAACACACAATGCTTGTTAAATTATGAGTACTGGAATTTCAATAACAGCTCTTGTATTCACTTGGATACTAGTGAAATGTTAATAGTGATTTAAAGATATTGTTTAATTTCAATAATAAAGATAAAAGTGTGTGTGTGTGTGTGTGTGTGTGTGTGTGTGTGTGTGTGTGTTACGGCTCATGTTTTACATTAATCATCTCACACTTTTCTTTCTTCTCACTTTTTGCATTCCTAGAAAAAAATATAATAATAATAACAATAATAGCATTTTTATATATTCAATGTGGCTCGAAAATATTTCACAAGCATGAAACTATTAGAAACAACCCCAACATGAGAAAATGACATGTCTGATTAAAGGGAAAACAGAAAATGAGTTAAAATATGAAATCTGACTTAATTATTGACTTTTTAATTCACATTTTAGTCGGAAAATAATCTAATCTTCTTTTATTTAGATCTAAAATGTAATGAAATATATATATTTGAGGTAAAATATGGCTGACATTTCACCAGAAAATACTCACTGCAGTCAAACTGCTCATTGAATTGAGTGTTCCTCTGCTTCTGCTGTTGAAATGTCCAGAATGTGTGTGTTTGTGTAAAGTGCTGTATTTTCAGTGTTTGTGAATGTGCTGTTTACACAGAGTGTAAAGAGGAGCGTCTGCTTCTGTCAGGATGTTTAATGTGTGAAAGATGCAGTTTTGCAGTGTGTGTGTGTAAAGCATCTCGATGTGTGTTTATCTGAAAGTTCGCTGGCCCTGAACCCGTCGCTCCAGTTCAGTGTGTTGCTGTGTTTCTGGGTGGAGAAACTGAAGGTGAATGAACACACACACATTTATCATGTAGAAATGCTGTTTAACCCGTCTGACAGATCACAACACCGCTTATGTAACAAACAAAATAACATTTGACAAGAACAGCAATGATGAAGCATTTAACACCCCTGATTCATTAACATATGGAGAGATTATTGAGATAAAAAAACCCACCCCACATGAAAAAAGACTAATATATTAATGAATGAATTAATTACGCTATAAAAAAAAACGCAGTAGTGTTTTAGAACTATAGCATTCAATTAATCTTGTGGTGATTCTACAGTTGCTATTGTTATGCAACTAATATAGCAATTGATCTGTAGTGGTGATTCTATAGTTGCCATGGTAACACAACAATTATAGCAATTGATCTGTTGCTGGGATTCTATAGTTGCTATGGTAACAACTACAGTAATCAATCTGTTATGGTGATTCTACAGTTGCTATGGCAACACTGCTATATTAATTGATCTGTGGTGGTGATTTTACAGTTGCTATGGTAACGCAAAATCTGTTGTGGTGATTTTACAGTTGCTATAGTAACATACTACATTATTTGATCTGTTGCAAGGATTTTACAGTTGCTATGATAACTACAGTAAACAATCTGTTGTGATTCTACAGTTGCTATGGTAACAAATTACAGTAATTAATCAGTTGTGGTGATTCAAAAGTTGCTATGGTAACACAACTATAGCAATTGATCTGTTGTGGTGACTTTACAGTTGGTTTGGTAACGCAGCTACAACAGTAAAAGATATGTTGTGGTGTTTCTACAGTTGCTACGGCAACACTGCTACGTTAATTGATCTGTGGTGGTGATTTTACAGTTGCTATGGTAACGCAACTTCTACATTAAAAGATCTGGTGTGGTGATTCTACAGTTGCTATGGTAACACGACAACTAAAGTAATTGATCTGCTGTGATGATTCTACAGTTGCTATGGTAACACGACAACTAAAGTAATTGATCTGCTGTGATGATTCTACAGTTGCTATGGTAACACGACAACTACAGTAATTGATCTGTTGTGGTGATTCTACAGTTGCTATGGTAACGCAACTACTACAGTAAACAATCTGTTGTGGTGATTCTACAATTGCTATGGTAACAAATTACAGTAATTGATCTGTTGTGGGGATTCGACAATTGCTAACGTAACAACTATAACAGTATTTGATCTATTGTGTTGATTCTACAGTTGCTATGGTAACAACAACTATAGTAACTGATCATACCGTATATATGAAATGTATATATATATATATATATATATATATATATATATATATATATATATATATATATATATATAGAGAGAGGACATAACATATGAATATTTTTTCCTATCGTCATTTTTAAAACTCGAATCTAAATTTATTGACTATATATATATATATATATATATATATATATATATAGTTAAAAAAAAAAAAAAATATATATATATATATATATATATATATATATATATATATATATATTTATTTTTTATTTATTTTTTTTTTTTATTATTGGGTAACATAGGAAATTAACCATGAATATTTATTCACGGTTTTTGCAAAATAATATAAAATATAATTCATATATTTAAAAAATTGGCCTGATAAAATGAAAAAAGAAGGATTATTAAATATATCTACTTTTTTACTCACATTATATGGAGAAAATATCTTTACTGTCTGTAATGTGTTTTTATCCTCATTTTTAATTCTAATATATATGATATATATACACAGTTAAAGTCAGAATTTTTAGCCCCCGTTTATTATTATTTCCTTGTTTTCTGTGTAACAGAGAGCAGATTTCTTCAGCATATTTTTGTAGTCATAATAGTGTTAATAACTCATCTCTAATAACTGATTTATTTTCTCTTCGTCATGATGACAGTAAATAATATTAGACTAGATATTCTTCAAGACACTTCTATACAGCTTAAAGTGACATTTAAAGGCTTCACTAGGGTAATTAGGGTAACTAGGCTGGTTAGGGTAATTAGGCAAATCATTGTACAATGATGGTTTGTTCTGTAGACTATTGAATACAAATATAGCTTAAAGGGGCTAATAATATTGACCTTAAAATGGTGTTCAAAAAATTAAAAAAATGCTTTTATTCTAGCCGAAATAAAACAAATAAGACTTTCTCCAGAAGAACAAATATTATCAGACATACTGTGAACATTTCCTGAATCTGATCAACATCATTTGGGAAATATTTAAAAATAAAAATTCAAACGGGGGCAAATAATTCTGACTTACTTGACAACTGTGTGTGTGTGTGTGTGTGTATACACACACACACACACACACACACACACACACACACACACACACACACACACACACACACACACACACACACACACACACACACACACACTTTTCTTAAATTATTATTTATGTTTATATTTTACAAAAGAGATTTGGTAAAATATTAAATTAACACTGAAGATTAATTATTTACAGTTTTTGCTAAATATATTCTTAATGAATCCACCTTTAATGCATCTTAAATATCTCATTATGCATGCATTTGACTAGTTTAAGCTAATCTACATTCCCATTGCTTGTGCATACGTGATGTTTTATTTGTGTCATGTAGTTTCACCTAGGCATTAATAATCAATAATTCAGCTTTATGCAGGTAAACTAAATGCAAAGCTTAATAAATACAATAAGATACACCTGAAAGCAGCAACATGTTAAAGAATCTTTATTAGTTTAATGCACGTTATTAATCAGACCTCTGCTAACACAAATCACAAATATAAATTAATCATCAGTGTGTGCGGTTAAAATGCTGACGTTAAATAACAGTGTGTGTGTGTGTGTGTGTGTGTGTGCGCGTCACATGACCATCCCTCCGCCCATGATCTCCAGCCTCTGCAGAAACACAAACAGCAGCAGTTTTGGGTGAATAACCTCCAATAAAGTGATTCATCACTAATAACATCATTAACACGATGATTATATGTAGTTCCTCTGCTTCTCTGAGTTTTGATTGACACTGAACTGCTGAATACAGTGATTAATAGTAGTACAATATAATTAAATAACCTAAATGAACAGTGCTCGCTTACTTCAGCAAGAAAAGTCATTTAATTACAGGAACTAGCTACTCTGAAACTAATTAAACCCAATATAAACAGTGTGTGTGTGTGTGAAACTGACTGCTGCCTCATGTTTATTCATGTACCTGCGGCGGCTCGATGAATGCCAGCCAATCAGAGGAGTGCGTGGGGAGGAGCCCCATTGATTGACACTTGTAGATGGCCAATGCGGAGCCCAGCAGGTTCCCGATGAGGTAGACCAGACCCTGCAGCCACTGCTGACTGGAGCTCTCCAGCAGCTTAAACGCTGCAACACAACAACATAATTACTAAACATAATATATTCAACATGATCTGAACATATATTAAACATAACTGATCTGATATTTGTAGCAATGAGGGAATTATATTTATTAGTATATGGGGGCAGACCACAGGCACAGAGAGAACAAGGTGCCCACTCGCGCCTGGGAAGACTCGGACTCTCAGCTTATCTTTCCCACAGAGATCACACAAACAACACTAAGACCAGACGCAGTGATTTGGGCAGCAGCGGCTGAGAAGGTCCTGGTGACTGAGCTGAGCCAAGGGAGGAGGGAATGGCAGCGGCGCATGAGTTCAAGCGGCACAAGTACTCAGACTTAGCAGCAGAATGTAGAGTCGAGGGCTGGACGGCGACAGTACCTCCCATTGAAGTTGGGTGCAGAGGGATTCGTTAGGAAGCCGGTATAGTTATCTTCTCTGCAGGGCCTCTAGGATGAGTCTGAGGAGAGCTAGTAAGGAGTTGGCAGAGAAGGCAAGTTACTGGAAGTGTCTACGGAGGAGGGACAAGAATTGGAGTGCGGTAGCCCATTAAGGGCAGCTGCAGGGGGTGGCAGGGAGACGTCCCCTCAAGCCACTGCCCCCCCACCGGGCGGTGTACTGGGTAGGGGGCGAAACATCAGTGAACGGTGGTACCAGCTGACGACCCTGCAGCTGACCCAAACGTGCACTGGAGGAGGTGCGGCAGGCAGTAATGTCTAACAGGTGCTTACTGGCATTGGAAAAAAATTATAATGCATATTTATCTGGGGGTAAATGCATATAATTATAATATAATGCATATAAGGTTTGTAGAAATTAAGAAATAATTGTGTGTGTGTGTGTGTGTGTGTGTGTGGGGGGGGGGGGGCGAATATTTATGCACAATTATTTTACTAACTTTATCAAAATATTATTTTCAATAACTGATCCATTTTGGCACACTACAATTATGTTTGTGGTGAATATTTATGCACACAAGTTATGTTTACTAATAATGAAATGTACGATACAATATTTGCAGGAATGCATTGCTGTGTTTGGAGGGGGATGTTTATGCATATAATAACTTTGAGTTTAATAACCTTTTTGGAATATTTGTAGTAATGAATTAATGTTTGCGAGGCGGGAGGTGAATAGTTATTATTTTATTTTTTTATAATTATTTTTTCGGGGTTTTCACCTTTATTTTTGATAGGACAGTAGAGAGTATTGCGGGGAAAGCATGGGGAGCAGAGAGAGGGGAAGGATCGGCATAGGACAGCGAGGCGGAATCGAACCTGGGTCGCCGCGATCACCGGAGTGCATGTGTCGACGCACTAACCACTACACCACTGGCGCCGACGAGGTGAATAGTTACGCACAATTATTTTGTGTGTAATAACCAATGACTGTAAAAAATATGGACGACGCGACAGCCCCTTTTCCCATTGAACGCCTTGAGGGCAAAACGCCTGCTGGACAGGCACAAACTGTCGCAAAAGACTGCTGAAATTGGAGCCAGACATGCGCAGAAGGACTGTCTGATGGAGCCAGAGGAGGAGCCGCGAAAATGAGCGGAGTCGAGCTTCCAACCAAATGCTTTATGTAAAATCAACCACGCCCCCCGAACTTCTCAGCATGCGTTTGCTGTCATATCAACACAAATGATGTAATAACGTTAACAAATATGAGGGTTTTATATATTCAATCGCGCCAGCTCCGGGCCGCAGCGCATAACTTACTCGCGGCGTCGCGGGCTGATTCCGGCTCGCATGCAGCAGCGCCGGCTCGCTCGGCCGCCGCATCTGGCTCGATTGACTCGGGCTGGAATCGGGCAGTGAGTCCAGGCATCCGGAGTAGGTCCAGCAGAGGTAGTCAGTCTGAGGGGTAAGTCTCCGGCTGGCGAGAATCTTAGCGAATAAACAGTGTTCCACCAGGATCATGTATGTCAGAAACTGTAGATTACTGCTGAACTCATTTTGTCATGGTAAAATAACACAGAAATCATAAAATTATAACACTTAATAATAACACTTCAGAAATAATAACACTTCAGTCTCCTGCCGAAGCTCAGACGGTCTGCTTTGAGAAACTGTCAATCACAGCTGTCAATCACGATGACACGCCCAGCATTAAATTACTGCTAAAAACAAACTGTTTACAAAAATGAAGATCTGCACCTATTTCAGCACAATAACCAGTACCTTAATCCACCAGAACCATCTTTCGGGACATTTTATTGCAAGTGTAATAAATTTTTTTATTTGGGCTCAAGTCTCCTTCATTAACACAGAGGAGGCGGGCTTTATGACTTGTACTGCAGCCAGCCCCCAGGGGGCGATCTAACGGCCGAGACCTTCACTCAAACGCAGGCTTGCGGCACACTTGGTAATAACAGGTCCATTTTTGGCAAAGTACAATGGTTTTTCTTTTGGGGGGGGGGGGGGGGTAATATATATGCATATAAATACTTTGTGTTTAATGACTGATC